GGGTTCGATCCTCAGCACCACATACAAACAAAGATGTTGTGTCCGCCGAAAACTAAAAAATAAATATTAAAAAAAAAATTCTCTCTCTCCCTCTCTCTTAAAAAAAAAAAAAGAAAAGAAAAGAAAAGAAAAAGCCTAAAAACTGCCTGTGCAATTCAATGCCCAGTTCATGGCTCCACGCACGGTCCTCTCTTCCAACTCAACTGGTCTTACTGCCGAAGACGTCCTTTCCTTCCGCCCAGGCCAGCACAGTTAGTGAACTGGGCATGCCCTGACCTCTCTGGCCATCAGGGAGGGTGCCCCTTTGTCTCCCAATGCACTAACTGGCTGTTTCTCCACAAGTACCAAATCTTCAGCACTGAAAGGTCTGTGAATTTAGGCCACGTGTGTCCCTCAGTTCATACATACCACACAGGCCATGGACTGTCATGTCCTTCTGTGTCTCCAGAACCAAACACAGCACCTCCCACACAGATTCTCAATACAGAGCAGGTCTTTCAGTTTTTACAATTGCCTCTTCAGTTATATCTCCTGCTGTTCTTCTCCTGAATATTTAAAAAGGGACCCAAAATATCAGCTTCCATAAAAACTACTGGTCATCTGATTTACAGTGCTAAAAATTCCATTTTGTTGAAACTTCCTTTTTTAGTATCAACATTGTAATTATTATCTTCAGCTGGATCAGAAGGTCTGAAATGATGATTTCATCAGCAACCTGGCCTTACCTAACATTTATTAAAGAAATGTCCCTTTCAGATTTGACCAGTGTGCCCAATAGTTCTTGCCCGAGAGGAGGGATATATTGGGGAGGACAGGTTTGGCTTGTGTGAGAAGAGGGACAGACGGTGTGAAGAGGCAGGGTGCGAGTGGGTTGAGATAGTGGGAGAGGCCAGGCAGGCCACAACAAAGATTCTGGAAATGGGAAACCACTGAAGGTCTTCACAGGGAACTAACACAATCCAATTGATAACTACTATTGCCATGTAGAGAATGCATTGCAAGGGACCAAAAGTCTACAGGGGAAGTGTTAGGCTCATGTAGAGGCCCAGCAAGAGAGGACCAGGCATGGATCAGGTGGCAGCAGAAGTCAATGAGAAATGATGGATTGATGGATACAGAATACATATTGAATGTCAATGAACTGAAGTTCACAGTAAGTTGAATTTATTTTAATATTCAGGAAGCATTAAAAAAAATGCCTCCATTTACTGAGTACCTCCAAAATGTCTGATCTCCTGTAATCTAGAAGGCAAGCATTACTATTCCCAATTTACTGGTATGGAAACAATGAGAGGTTTAAGCAATTACGGCTAGTGATAGGAGGGGTAGGGTCTGCCTAGGATGTTAGAATGGTCCCCTCCAAAGCCCTTTTGGTTTCATTACAGGCCGTTATGGGAGATAGCAGGGAAGAGGCTAGAGAGCTAGAGGGAGGTGCAGTGGTGATGGCAAACAAACTAACAGTGGGCACAAACAAGGGAGGGGGGGGAACAGGGGACTCTTCTGCTTCACTTACAGGGTGTCTATAAAAGCCATGTGCAGAGGTGTTGGTGGTGGTTATGTCACAGTGGGTATAGTTCAGGGATGTTCTTCCAGCACCCAGCCGCTTCCCACTTCAGGGCCTCTGCACCCACAGGGCTCAGAGGACAAGCCTTCCCCTCCCATCACCTGGCAGGCTGCCTCCTCTACAAACTTCAGATCAGTGTCACCACATGTGTCCTTAGCCTTGTTCCCAGTCTCTGCAAGGGTGGCTCCTTCTAGTTAAATGTCATCTACTCAGGGAGGCTCTCCCTATTTGCCTAATACACAACGTCACTCCCAACTCCCCACCACAGTACCCTGCATTTATTTTTTCCTTTCATAGCATTTTTTGTCTGGTTGTGTCCTCCTTCCCCTGCTGCCCCAAGCTGACATGGAAGTTATAGGTGAGCAGGACTGTATGTCTTGGTCACACTATCTCCCAGGATTGAGAGCAGAAGCTGGAACCCCATAGGCACACAACAGGACTTAATAAATGATGGCAAGGGAAAGAGAAATTCAAGATGACTCCAAAATTCCCGTGGTGATGCACAGTAGTGTTTGGCCAGATGGCTCCAGAGAAGAAACCTGAGCCATGGGCCAGCCTAAGCCAAGCTGGCTTACGAAGCTAACGAAGTCTCTGATGGGCCAATGTGCTATCAAAATTATTAGATAGAGATGGATAGTAATTTAAAAAAAATTTTTTTTAATGAGAATTTCTACACCAAAGCAAAACCAGGAATGATAACAGTCGATGAAAATGAGCCTAAGGCTAAGTCCCTTCTAAAAAGCAAAGCAATGAACTGGAGCCAATCAGTGTCCAGCATTTCCTCTTATCCCTTTGTCAGGCCATCAGCTTTTGGACTTTTAATAATGGAAGCTTTCTCCAAGTTCAGCTTTTCTGAGCTCAACTTAATGATCTCATAGTCCTTTAGAAAGGAGACTTACAGTGTAAAGCTCATTGTGTGAGTTAGGCATTGTTTTTTAACTACAGGGGAACAAAGAATAGGGAAAATGGATTTTAAAATCTTGAGCAATTGTGCTCATGAGTTCTAATGAACCAAAGACAACTGAGACAAACTGCAGGAAAGGAATGGATTGTAGAACCCTGCTGCCCACTATTTCTACAAGTGAGTGGAAACCATACTGTGGAGAATAACACCCATTCAAAATTGAGTAACAAGTTTTTCCTGATTAAATAAAACAAAACAAAAAACTCCTTAAGATATATGTTGTGCAATAATAGATGTATTTAAGGGAAATAATTTTAAAGTGAACAAGGTATACTGTTCCAATATGTTTTGACATTTAAAAGGTATTCTTTGGTTCTTATGAGGAACAAAGGCCTTGTCACCTTGTCACCAATTGCTGCAAAGCACGCTGTCATCCCCTGGCATGCTTCTTCTTGGGTATCCCCCCCCACATACACTCCAGTCTCCCATACAGCCACCCTGCCATTGTACTCATGAGGGAAAATTAAATGAAGATCCAAATTAAAATTCATCTGCAAAATAAAAGATTACCAGAAGAATTAAATTAAGGATGAAAAGGCTATCACACTAACCCCAATTTTTTTTTTTTTTTGCCATGAACATTCATTATTGAACTTGAATAAGCTTTTCTAGTCCAAAGGTGATTCATCAGCAAGTGCCACCAATGGCAGTTAGTTACAACACTTTTGCAAGTTTTGTATCCAAACCCCATTTCTAAAGTACAGGCTTTCTGGTCCAGCATGTGCCCTAGACATGAATAAAATGAGGCCTTAATTATTGCCATTTTTGATTACTATTCAGTTAGACATTTTACTCTCTATTGCAGTGGACCCAGGCCCCTCTTGGTTGTGGAGAGGTTTCCCAAAGCCATAGTGTAACTGGGAAAATCTAAATAAAACCTCCAGCTTCCACTGCTTTTAGATGACTTTAAAGTCACTAATTCTGGAGATGAGGCAGGTAAACAATTCAGCACCCCAACAGTTTGGCTGTAGATGATTCCTCTGACTGAAGCCACTTAAGGAGTTAAAACAGTTGTCTTAGGCCAGCTTCCCCTGTTCTCCTAGGAAAGACCTTTTGTATCATAATGATCACCTACAAGGTTAGTTATTCTTGGGGAAGGGAACTGAAACTGAAAAATTCTTGGGAAAGAAACCCGAGTGGTAAAACTTCCTAATCAGAAACTTTTCTCTAGTTTTACAGAACCCAGGACATCTGATGGTCTTCAGATAACATTAAGTGTGCACCAAGGATTTGCTAATCTTGTTCTTAAAGTAAATCAATGTTTAACTTTCAAGAAAATAACGCGTTTATCTAAAAACTTATAGTACTGACATAAGAGACGAATGTTATCTCAAGGATACTGTGGCAGAAGAGAAAAGAAAGCAAGCCCTAGATGAGGAAGACCCAGCTTGGCAGTAGCCTGCTTGCCTATGGCCCCAAGCTCCTCCTCTCCATCCCTATAAAAGCCCTTTGCGAACCTGAGTTTCCTAAGATTTCTCTTTTTTTTTTTTTTTTTTGTCGTGACAGTCTCCCATCTTCTTTGGTTTGCTGGCTTTCCAAATAAGTCTTTTTCCTTGCCCCACAACCTAAGTCACTGCCTTTGTGAGTTGCGTATAAATACAAATCTGGGTTCGGTAACAAAGGGGTCTACAATTCTAGACCCTAGTTTCCTGCCTGGACTCAGGAGCTGTGTGGGATGCGGACTGGCAAGAAAAGATCAGTACGCGTCGGTGCTGACCAGAGTGGAAGAACACCGGAGGCCCGATCCCCAGCTCCATGGACGCCGGCAGCTGTCCCAGCGCCGAGGCTGCTCTACTTCCCGAGGAGGGCGGGGCCTGCGGAGCCACGCGCCGGGCGGGAACCCCAGGAGGGGCGGGGCCTCGGGCGGAGTGTGCGGGGAGGCCACGTCGGCGTTCCTGAGGCCAGGTCCGCCGACAAGGCGTCGCTCAGCTCACCTGAGCGTGGCTGGGCGGGGCTCGGGCGCTGGCGGGCCTCGGTTTCCATACCAGGACCAGGAACTGTCTTAGCCAGCTTGGGACTGCCTTTGGAGTCGCAGCGACTTCCTCCTTCTCTCCTGAGGTTCGTGCCTCCTGGCTCGAAGTGCTGGGTTGGGCAGCCAGCCCGGCCCTTTTGCGAGCTTCTCGGAACTCAGCTAACCGCTGTTCCATGACGCGCGCTGCACTCCGGGAGCGCGCGCCCGCCAGCCCGCGCGCGAGGTCCTTCCTCGCGCAGCCCAGCGCGGCACTGTTGTGCGCCTGCGTCGGTCGTTGCCCGGTGCGCATGCGTGGTGGTGCGTCCTGGCCGCAAACTTCCGAAGATTTGTGACGTCGGCGGGCCTGAAGCCGCCCTCTGTTCCCAAGCACGTGGACGCAAGGTGGACTCAGAACTGTCCCATTGTTACTCTTGCCTCGAGTTCCTCGGAGGAAAGCTCTATTTGGCCCATTCTCACGTCAGGTCTCTTGAGCGCTCCTGCTGGGCACGACGAGGAGCCCCACCGTGAGAAGGTGGTCCCAGGCACCGAGAGCCCCCGATCTCTGGGAGGTTTCGCGTATCAGGATGACAAGATATGAGAAACCTTTTCCTTTTATCAGGGTATTCCAGTCATGAAATTTGGAGAGGGATTTTCTCACTGCTCACAAAGCAAGCTGTGTATCATTGCTCTTGCCACTAGAACTAATCTGTTGATGTGCCCAGATCGGTCAGAAACTTATGGGGAAAAAAAGCCCCCCCCCCAAAAAAATGGGAGTGCAACTTAAAATACACAAATCTGGAGGGTAGGTTTAATAGCGCTCTTCTTAACATGCTAGCTCTCTTCTGATGTGTGCACCTGTATAACCACCGCAAGATAAAAGAACAAATAGTTCTAGTACCCTGGGACTCTTTGTGCAGACCTCTCTCAGTACTCACCTAAAAGAACACCATCCAGGTCAGATTTTTATAGTTCTAAGCATCTATAGTGAAGGAACACATAATTGAGACTCAAATGTTTGTTGAATCTTGATGAGTTTGAGTCAAGAAGTTAGATAAAATGAAGTGTTTCATTCACCTAACAAATGAAAGTTTATCTAGGGCTATGTATTGAGTATTGTATCAGGCAGTAGGGGTGCTGGGGTTAATGAAACAAAGACCTCTGTTTTATTAGATCTTACATTCTAAGTGGAAAGACAGGCAGTAAACACACAATTATATATAATGTGACATCAGGTGCTGATTAGTGCTATGAAGAAAGACAAAGTAAGGAATGAAAGTGAGAGAGCTATTTAGAGCCGGTGACCAGGGAAGACCTCTCCGAAGGGGAGCATGCTGTTTGAGCAGAGACCTATCTGAAATGACTGAATGAGGAATGTAACTACCTGCTCAAGAGAGTTTGAGTCAGAGGAAATAGCAGGTGCAGAGGTCTGAGGTCTCCGCTGGTGTGTCTGACCTGCTCACAGAATATCAGGGAGGCTGGTATGACTAGAACAGAGGGAGGGAGAGAATGGTAGAAAGTAAAGATGTGCTGATAGCCAGGTGCCAGTCACATCAGTTCTTGTAAACCAGGGTCAAGTCTTTGAATTATATTCTAAACATGGTAGAAAGCAATGGGACAGTTTTTGAGCAGGTGATGACAGTTGTATGAGAAAGCCAGAGATGCACTGGCTGCTGGAGGTGGGGCCCTGGGAGAATGCTGGAGGAGAAGGAAAACCAATTAGGAGCAAATATGGTAGGATAGAGAGTGTGATAGCTTGAGCTACTATAGTAGAGAGAGAAGAGATGAGAATTGGTCAGATTCTGAATTTTTGAAGATTGGAGCCAACAAGGTGCATAGATTGTTTGGATATGGAGTATGAGAAAAAGACGAATCAAGGATGATAGATTTCTTGCACACATCTGTGCACACACATACTGTCACAATAAAAAAAAAAATTCAAGTGGGCTGGAATTGTAGCTCAGTGGTAGAGCACTTGTCCTGAATGTGTGAGGCACTGGGTTTGATCCTCAGCACTACATAAAAATAAATAAATAAAATAAAGGCATTGTATCCATCTACAACTAAAAATACATTAAAAATTACAAGAAATACAATTTTAAGATATTAATTTTATTTGCAGTTCTAGAATTGGGCAACACCTCATCTTATATTTATGTTGCACCTCAATAAAAATGAAATGTTCTAATAAACTGAGCAGAGGAGGTTGACTTTATAGACAGAAAAAGGCTGAGTAAAGCAGAAAATAAAACAAGCAAATTAGTTGTTTCAAAATTTTCTTGTAAAAACAGGGAGGAATTCCTTATCTTACCAGTTAAATTTTTCTTGTTTGGGAATTTGACTATTATTTTTCTGATTTCTTGGAAGTTCAGATGAACAACTTAGTTGTGACTTAGTGGTGTGGAACTTCAGCATGAGTAACTGCATTTTTGGTTTAGTCTTTTGAGCTTAGGGCAGGAACTCAGTCAAACCAATGGCGTCCTTGTAAAATTTATTTAACACTTCCATACAGGCTAATATCCCAGGCAATCAAGTTAAGGATTCTGGGCCCCTCTGCCAAAAGCAAGGAAGACTAGGGGGAAAGGATTGTGGAATAAACACAAAGTTTTGTTTGGA